TGGAGGTAGAAGATGATGAGGATTTTCTTCGACGGGTTCTCTGAGGTCTGGCGAGAGTTCCCATAGACAATGTAACAGTACCTACTCGATCTCGCATGTACCAGTATCAGATTTTTTATACATTGCATCTACTGGTTCATCAAAACATGTGATCGATTTACCTATACACCTCAAACAGGGAGTAAGGGAAGTCCAGACTGAGGCGCTCCTTGATTCAGGAGCATATTCTTGCTACATCAACCCGCGGCTGGTTAATCAGTTGAATCTTGCTACGATCTCTCTTGAAAAGAAGATCAGGGTTTATAATGCAGATGCATCTCACAACAAGGGTGGAACCATTAAGAAACGGGTTCTTCTAAGTATAACTATCAGAAATCATACAAGCAGACAAAGTCTTCTGGTTACCGATATAGGTCACAAGGACATTATACTAGGCATGAGTTTCCTCAAGGAGCACAATCTTGAAGTGAATTGGGGAAAATTCATGGTCGATTTCACCCGGTGCCCACACAGATGCGCACCCTCACAGGTAGCAATCCAGGAGGAGAACCTGGAAGACACAAACATCCCCCACATCAAAGACCTGATGGAGTTCATCAGTTCCCAGGAGTTAGGTGACAAGTGGAACGACATGGACAGCTTCATTAGATGGGTGTCACTATCAGAAGACCCTGATGCACAAGCCGTAGTGTCACTCATTATGGGTCTTGACACCAAAAGGAATCAGGATAGAGCGCCGCAAAAAGGAGAACAGGACAAAGACTACTGGTCAGCCTATGTCCCCAAACACTTCCACGAGTATGGCAATGTGTTCTCCAAGAAGCAGTCGGAACGAATGCCCACAAGAAAGCCCTACAATCATCCAATTGAACTTGTTCCAGAGGCATTGTTACCACATCCGGCAAAGTTATATCCTATGAACTTACAGGAAAGAAATTCACTCGACACGTGGATAGACCAAGAGTTGGCCAAAGGTTACATCAAGAGATCAAGGAGTCTAACAGCAGCACCCGTCTTCTTCGTCAAAAAGAAAGATGGATCACTGAGACTAGTCCAAGATTACAAGAACCTCAATGCAGTCACAAAGAAGAACAAGTCGTCGGGTAAAATCACACGTGTCATTCCACCATAGTTGGGATGGTTGATGAGCACGAGTGCATGGTGGAAAGGTGGTGATGTTTGCAGTGTCGATGGCACACAGGAGAACTGCTGCACCCCGATCAAGGTCAGGGGCAGAGGAGTAGCTGTGAGGGGGAGAATTAGTCATGAGTGCATGATCAAGGGTGTCAAGCCACTCATTGCAAAGGGAGGGATCCATGTGGAAGCCGAGATTAACCTCCTTGGAGGTAGCCTCAGTGCAGATGGTGTATGCAGGTAAGGAGCGAATGGTCAGAGGCCCACGGGGAGTCCTTGACAGGATATTGAGAAAGAGTGAAGCGGGGGTTGATCGAAGCCCACACCAAATTGATGACGGTGCCCGTGAAGGGGTTTTCCCTGATGGTGTGAGTGGGAACGTGAGGCTCAGTGACGAGCTCGAGACAGTGATCGACCATTCATTGGACTAGGTCCTCTGCCCCTTTAATAGTGGAGTGGAAAAAGTGGTGCTCCCATGCCCAGAGAGGGTGGTGCATGTTAAAGTCTCTGCACAGGAGAATTGGGGTAGAAGGGGTGAGTGAGATAGAAAGTAAGTGATGAAGGCCGAATTGGCCAGTTGTAAGCCTGTCATTGTAGATGTTAACGGCCAGAAATTGGTCAGCAGGAGATGAGCGGGACACGAAAGAGAGAATGAGGATGTCAGGATGAGAGGACAGATCCGAACGGAGCGTAATATAAAAGGAATCAAAAAGGTGTTACCTCACCAGGCAGCTGACTCATGGCCTGGGGGTGGGCTTGAAATGAGGGAGATGGAAGGTTACAAGGTTGAAAGGAGCAGCATTGACAGTGCCAAAAATGGGGGCACCGGACTCAGTTCCATGAGGGGTGTCTGAGCTGATGCGCCCCCACCAAGATTCTTGGATAAAATAAAGATCAAAATGTGTGTTGGCCAGAAGGCCATGCAGCTGTGGGTTAGAGTGGGCCACATTCAGTTGTGTGGTTGTAAGAATCATTAAGCAATGACAATGGGAAGTGAAGGAATGTGGTATTGCGCACGAGCAGTGCAAGAAGGGTCAGCAGCATGATGCTCGCTGTGGTGTCCACAGACTCAGCAGAAAAAATGAGTGGGAGGGCATGGGACAGTACTCGGGCTGTTTTCAAGTGCGCACGCACTGCAGGCATTGCGATGCTGGTCCATGGAGTGTGAGTCCTTGTCACAAAAATGGTAAAGGGGAAGTTTGCACTTACAGAAGCGCTCAGTGTGGGTCAAAGCCCAGCATCAGTTGCATTGGCACAGGACTGGTTTGTCCTTGGAGTGCTTTATGAGGAGTCGAGCTCTCATGAACCAGACAGACATGGATGGTTCACCATGGTTATCATGGCCAATCAAGAAATGACTACAGAAGTCCCTCTTGGGATCTTCGATGGAGAAAATGAGGGGTGCTCGCTGATATGCTCAATCGTGTCCTGGCTGTGAGCAGTGCTCCTAATCAAATCCCTAACTGGTGGAAGGTGAATCAGGGCTCTGTCCATCTGCAGTCTCTTTGGGCTACGGTCGCAGGAAACTTCCGATGATAATGCAGCAATGGGCAGCTGCAAGTCGTTCAGCTGTGATGCTTGAAACGGATCAGATCTGTCATGACTTCTGGATCAGTGAGTGTCGGACTCAGCTGTATGGATGCCTCTGACTGAGAAACAGTCGAAAGCTGAAATGTGGGGGTGTGTGGGCATAGAATGTGATTGGCGACTTTCGTACTCGCGAACTGTGGTGGGTGATGGTCTGGGCTGTGGCATGAGGGCTTGCTATATCTGAAAAGTGCTGGTGAAGCACTGATGACGAGGCTCTAATTGCCTCTGAACTAGCTCAAGTGCCGATGAGCAACCGTTAATTGCCTCCGAACTGGAACAAGCACCGACGATGAAGCTCTAAGTGCTTCTGACTGGAACAAGTGCCAACAATGAACCCCTGAGTGTCTTCAAACTGGATCGAGCACCGACGATGAACTCCTGGGCACTAGTGAGGCTACGGGGTACGATGGAGATGGAATCCTGGTTGAGACTCGTGACTGGTGGCGCGAGATACGAGAACGCGATAACGTGACTTATCTGGCTGAAACCTGAGTCGAGCTAGAGGCCACTGCTGAGAGTGCTGCCTCTCTCAGTGTTGAGAATCCCAGAGACGGAAAATGTGATCGCAATAGATGTAGACCTGGTCAGGCACAATGCCCTAGCGTAGACAAAATGAAAACTGAGTACTGCTGCGTGGGGAACTCCATGTCAAACTCTCTTATTATTCCTATGTACAGTGTAGATTATATAGCAGATCAAAAATGAGCCAGCTGGGTCACTGAAACATGTTTCCGATTCATTGAAACCTGTCGCAAAGCTCGTCCCTGCCCCCTCTCTATATCATACAGTCAGGGAACTGGAAGTCCGGCCCTGTCAGGGTCCATCAGTCTGCTACCCTATCTTCCATTCAGTTAGTGCACTTGTTCATTTTCAAGTTGCCTAACTGGTCACATTTTGCTCTCGTGCTGCACCTCATAATCGGCTATGCTTCCTCGTGGCTCGCTCGTCATTTTCGCGCCTCATGTTCACCTTCTGACCCCTTTATGCAGTTCCGTGTTCTCAGGCTGTCAGTAAAGTCTTCTTTGCCCACTCTGGACTGCTTCAGCTCAGTGTTTGTCTTTCCGGATCGTGGCGACTCGCTATCTGATTGTGCGATAGTCGGACGCAGTTTCTGGCATTTTCCGATCGCAGAATATCTCGGTGCATATCATTGCTCTTGCATGTCCTCCAGTCTCACAAAAGTAATAAAGGCAGGTATGCCATTGAAATAAGTGTGATTGAAGACTGGGTTAGTACAGAGTTCCACCATAATCTCTTCCCCGGTGAGCAGAGAGCCGCTCACTGGGTGGCATCTCAGGCATGCCAGAACAAAGAGTTTAACAGTGGGTAGCACAGGGCAGAAGCCCTGGAGCAGCATGACAGTGTATGCACCCATCAGGACTGGGGAAGCAGCATGAGGCTCAAGGTCTAGGATGACGCAGATGGCCCGCAGAGCATCTCATATGAGAGTATCCGGAGAGTCAAAAGAGAAAGTAAGGAGCACCTTGTTGGGTGCAAGGCGCATACCACAGAAAGTTACCTTGGACCAGGCATCAGCCTCCTGGATGCGTTGAGTGATGCGCTGGTACCAAATCACGGGTGCAGTTTCGCAAATGCATGTGACCTGCTCCAGCGTGAGTATGGTATGATAGGTTTTGTCTGTTGGTGGTGGTGGTGGCGGCGATGCTGTGGAAGGTTGGCAGCCTTGGCAGTAGGCTTGGTTGTGGCGGCATCCTTGCGCATGCTTCAGGTGGTGTCAGAAAAGGTCTTGTTGGCCTGCTTGCATGGACCTGCGAGGGGGCCCAGGGGTGTCAGCAGTGGGTGAGAACGGGCCAGAGTGGCTTCTATGATTAATAGGCATGCATCGATGGTGACGGTTGCCATGCGGATGCCTGTCTCAATGCCTTTCACTATGACGAACTGAATGTGGGCAGGCTCAGGGTTAGTATAGGCAGATGCACCCAAGGGGTCCAGTTCACTAGCACACTGGTGAATGACAGCGGTGAAGATGGTGAATGCCCCCTTGCCCATGTCAGAGTGCTGTGAGGTGGCGTTCTGGGCTGCCCCCACACAGAATGAGTTCTCTCAGGTCAAGTACATGACGCGGATGAGCAGGGGTCAGAACAAGTTCCCTCAAGCAGGCTACAGGCACGGTCTGTATGGGACAGGTACATGGCATGTCAGGCTTAGGGCAGAGTACGCAGTACGGGGAAGCTGCTCATTTCTATGCTACAGAATGGGTACACAATACGTGAGGCCCATCCAGGGTGAACCAATACACATCCGGGTACCTCATATCAGAACTGTCCACCAAAGTCCTCGGGGCACAGCGTGCAGTCAGAATCGTCCTCCAGAGTGACAGCGGGGTGAGTCCTGCTGGTTGGAGCACCACCGGGGGTTGGTAAAGAGTCGACAAGCATGCGCAGTTCATGGACCCATGGGTAGGAGTCAATCGAGTGAACGTGCAAACTGGACTCCACAAGGTCCGAATGAGCAGAAGCCGCCCAGTGCTACAAGAGGACCTTAGAGCAGCGCGTGCACGAGAGCATGTCGGTAGACATACCAAAAGTGACTGAACAGCAGTGTGCCAGTGATACCACTCAACCACAGCGGGATGCAACCCAGACGGGATATGGGTGTGCTCGAATGCCAGCACTTCAAGCAAGAGAAGGTAGCGACAGAGCCAGGTGGTGCAGGTAACGACCATAGAATCAAGCCGAGCTTGTGTGGTGTGAGACATGGCTGAGTGGGAGAAGAGATGGGAATGAGGGGCAAGGATGGGTAGAGATCCGGATGCAGACAGAGTCTCAGGGTGGGTCCTCGGACTCTAGGGGGTGAAGCCGATGGGAGGTCGTTGGAGGGAGCACCCAGTCTCGGACAGAGGGGTGAGGTCAGATTGGGGCAGCAGTGAACCATCATGATGGCAAGGCAAGTGAATGAGAATGCAGTTACGAGGTTGCGGGGGAAGTCAGCAGGACTTGATGTAGTGGAGGCTGAGTGTTGGGGTGGCGAACCAGGAGCTGGAATGAGCAGGTCTCTACTCAAATGAATAGCAAAACACAGGTTTGGAACATGATGTGATGGAGTGGTCGGCAGCAGCGGGCCCTCTGAGAGAACAAGAAATAGCAGAATGAGTCAATGGGTTAGGGGCCAAGCGTGGTCAGATACGGGAGCGAGGACCGAGGTGAGCACGTCCCAGAATTGCGATATTTAAAGAACGCGTAGATAGACAACAAGGGGACTGCTTTTCTGACCGTGTACCTACAAGACTTAGAATGCGAAGCGGCTTGCGCAGCAGCGGACAACAACAGGGACAGTGGTCTCAGTTCACCTCTCAGGCTTCAGCTCTACTATGCATCAGAGCTCTCCTCTTTGCTCTCACTGTCAAATATGCCTCACAAGCCAGGAGAATGCAGCAGCAGATACGGTACGCCCTCATTCTGAGATCCCTGTATTCTGTCCGGAGGCCATTAGACCTGCCCTGGAACCGTTTTACTGTGTGTACTTTACGTACATCACCTCAGGCCACATCCTCTATGCCCTTGCTGTCCTCTTGGGCATTGCTTTGGTTCATTTCTCCACCATCTTCTACATTTGGCTTCTGCATCGCCTCTAGACACAAACCTTCCATGCACTGTTCCCCCTTCATCCCGCTCAGTTATTTGCTGTCATTTCACAGCTAGCCGAGTTCTTGCAATCACAGCGCATGAGCTTCTCATTGTTGAGGAGCTTGTGGTGGATCTCAGCAAAGGTTTCCGTGAGGCTGTCAACTACATCGGTAACCCATCCACGATGTCCTCACCGATGACTGGATCTAAGGCCAGATGAGCCATGTGGTGGAGCCATCGGAGCAGCTGCTCCATGTCAGCAACAAATCCGTGCAAGCTAGTATCAGTTATTGGGATCGAAGTACTGTTGCTGGCCATAGGAGACTCCCCTGGGGGGGTTCGCTCTACAGTGGCGACCTCCATTTTGACGTCAGTTTGTTGTGCTGGTTGGGCGCTTGACAAGGACATGGTGGTCAAGAGACAAGAAGGGTTGCTGCTCTTGCTGAGGAGACAGGAGTAACATGCTGATACAATGCACGGTGCACGATGCACATTGTGATGGCTCATGACGGCTGCATCGTTGCACCAGTGAACTTCAGATCAAGAATATGAAAATATAGAGACATGCAGATATGTGCTGCATTTACATCAGGGGCATAAAAAGACAAGAAAAATGTGGACCTTAACATATGAGCAGTTTGACATGCAACACACCTGCAATTACTTCTGCAAGTTTATAATCTTCTGATGGACCTCAATGCATGAAAAATAGACAAACACCTTCAAGCTTGAGAGTCAGCTCAAGCTAAGTTGGGCACTAGTAGCATTGTCAATAAGAATGACCTGGCATAATTCCAAGAGTGGTACATGACACTTTGCAACATCAGCAATGACCTTTTAACTAATCATGCAACAGGACCTCTTTGATGCAGCTGCCAGTGGCAATATTGTGATATCTGCTATAGTGAGCATCTCTCCATCTAAGGTGTTTTTGTATGGCATGAATGGTGAATATATATAGTTAGGTCATTGACTTTGTCAGACTCATATATCTAGGCTTTTGCACCTCATCTAGTGTGGGCACGAGCTGAGCTAAGCCAAGCTGAGGTCACCAGACTCGCTATCAACTTGATGCTCTTGGGACGAGTCTCAAGTTGACTTGTGAATCCACCATATATAAAATGGAAGTCAGCTGGAGCAAAATGGACTGGAGTCTGACCCAATATGTGCAGTTGTAGGATCTCAATGAGAATAGCTAACCATGTGACAGTTCAAAATTCAACAACAATTATGAAATTTGATGTGTCACATTATGCTGAGCATTAGTTCCATGATGGTTTTTCTTACAGCAATCAACGGAATGCAGCCATCATGCATAATAATATAATGCCATCAGATGAGTCAGTGAGCTGTTTGAGTTCAGAACTCAGCTCGTCGCCCACACTGACCTCACCAATTTCAAAATAAATCAATAAAGGTGTTATTAGCCAAATGTGACATTGCTAGTACTGTCAACAATGAACTAATAATCATACATGCAATGCTATGTATGTTATGTCCACCTCAATGGTCCCTGGGGTACTCATCAATTGGCCGCATGAGATAACAAACAAAGTGGTGATCATTGAGCAGGCCAGTCCCTGTTGCCATATATGATATACTAACACCGGCCCTCTAATGCAACTTTTTGACCTTTTGAGTTCCTGTGGTCCATGAACTTATTCAATTGACTCCGGAACTATTTCACTAAATAGCTATGCTTCTCATGGACTTCATCATTTTTTTTCCATACTGCATATTTGTGATGTTCATAATACCGGAAGGCAACAATGACTGCAACAGCAGTGCAACAATTTTCTGAGGTGATGTAATGCAATCAGTCATGTTGCTGCAATGCTGTATTTCACATTCTGCCCGGCATGCTGATTCGACGAGCGCAGATTGTGGCACATGAGTGCCGAGAAGGGTGGCTGCCACGTGCTGGCACCCAGCGGAGTTCAGATCTCATGATCCTCTGTGGCGACTTTGTCACGCTGATGCTCACCTCTGCTGTTCTTTCTCTCCAGATATCCATCCGGGGGCTCAAAGGCCTCGAAAATTTAATGTACTATCTTTGACCATATATCACACTATGACTAACTCACTAAAGTGATCGGACATGAACTGCAGTGAGCCGAAGCCTGATTAAGCCCGCATTTTGAGCATGCAGGTCATGATCTACCTAGCATTCATCCAATCCTCAACTGAATGACACAGAACTCGGTAGACATAGTCATCATGTTTACAACCATATATAGTGAATTTTCCAGATTTTCGTGGGATGAGGAAAGCTCTGGAGAATGTGAATTGCATTACTGTCACAGTTGCATTGCAGGGCCACTGATAGTAGTACTCTCAGATTTCAGGATACCAAACTGGATTAAACAAAATTACAGATATATATGCATCAAATTACCTGATTTTACACCCAATTAGCCAAGCATGAACCCTAATTTTCATTGTCTCGAGTGCAATATACTTTTGTCTGCCTGGGCATGCCGAATGTAGGCTCTCAGTGTAAGACTCCTGTGCCTAGAATACATACTTTCATATGTCTTTGCAGCTTCTGATTAAGAGCTAGCAGAAGCTTCAAAATGGTCGCATTCAGCAGATATCTGATGACAATGTACTCCTTCTAGCTGTTAACTGTCGACAGAAGCTGATGATGTCCAACGCAACATAATTAGAAAAAGCACATCGTGAACGGGAGGCAGAGACGAGCATCGATCATGGATGCTAGCATTAAGAGAGGCACGGCGCTTCCGCGTCTTTGATTCCGCCAACTACGAAGGCACACGTTCGCTCTCTCGGAAACCTGCTCAAAGTCTCATCGACCATCCCGCAGGCTGCCAGTTGACCAAACGACATGCTCTCATCGTCCCCGGGGTGGTCATCAAATGTTAGCCCTGTCGAGTTCATCGTCACTCGGGCCTGCAGCCCCTCATTGCCGGAGCCGAACTATGCGCTTCATCTCGAGGTTGCGGAGTACATCAACCAGAAGAAGGCTAACACGTATGTTGTTCTTTTATTCAACGTAATCACTGCTCACGCTAGGTAGGCCACGAGAGGCGGCGATGACTATAGCGCGTCTGGTCAATCATCGGAACCCGCACATTGCCATGCTCGCCCTCGCTCTCCTCGAGACCCTCGTACAATCATGTGGATATCCCTTTCACTTGCAGATTTCCACTAAGGAGTTCCTGAATGAACTTGTTCGCCGATTCCCCGAACGCCCGCCACCATTTCCTGGGCCCGTCATGTCCAGAATCCTCGATCTCATCAACGACTGGAAGGAGGGAATCGCAACTGAGTCCAGGTGGAAGGAGGATTTGGGGAATATAAGGGACATGCATCGTCTGTTGACCTTCAAAGGATACCGCTTTCGGGACCGACCACGACAGCCTCCCATAGCGTCTGCTTCGGTGCGTCTCCCATTGCTATCTGCTAATCAATTCACACTTTCTTATGTCCGCCCTCTCTATAGAATCTCAAATCGGCGGATGAACTCGAAGCAGAAGATCGCGAGGCGCAGGAGGCGAAGCTGCAGGAGCTGATCCGACGCGGAACGCCGCGCGACCTCGCCGCAGCGCAAGAGCTCATGAAGACGCTGGCCGGTGCGAACCCCGACGCGAAGCCAGATTACCGCACTCAGGCACTGACGGAGCTGAACAAGCTCGAGAGCAAGGTCATCTTGTTAAACGAGATCCTGGACAACGTGGACACGGCGCGGGGCGAGAAGTTCGTGCAGGGCGACGTGTATGATGTGAGCGCCGTCCGTGCTGGAGTCGAGGCTGATGCGCTGATGATGCCCCGCAGCAAGTCGCGTCCATTCTCACTGCGGCCCGTCCGAAGATTCAAGGCTGGATATCGAACGCGGAGACAGACGATCCCGAGTCGCTCAGTGCGTTCGCCCTCTGGCTACCCTCTGAACGGGCGTACTGATCTGAATCTGTGCATAGACACCTTTTTGCAGATCAACGACCAACTCAACTCCGTATTATATCGATATGAGTGCTACAAGAAGGGCGACTACGCACAAGCATCGAACCCAGTGCCGCCTGAGCTGGGCGGCGGGCCTAACGAGCTGTCACTCATCGACTTTGACGACTCGGCACCATCAGCAAGCACCGGGGATGGCGCAACAGCATCGCGTTCGGGCTCAAATGTCACACCAATAGACGAACTCGCAAGTCTATTCGGACCGTCTCCTGCAGCATCCAGCGCCATAGCGCAGCCACCAGTGATGGGCATTGGAGCAGGCTCGGGCTCAAACATAGGAATGAGCACGGGTACCGCACAGCTAACGAGCATTTTTGGGAGAACGAACATGGCCGCACCAACACCATCAAATGGATATAACCTCGGAATGGGTATGGGGATGACTTCACTACCAATCCAATCCACGCGTCCGGGCGCAATCTCGCCATCATCTGGTCAGCAGTTGGGCTCAATCCGGCTGGGCACGCCTCAACAAAACATGTCTGCATCAAGTTCGTCCGCACCTCTGCCGATGCCAAATTACTTTGCGGATAATACCCGGGTGATGGGCACAGAGACGGGCATGGGTGGTCAGACGGGAATGCAGCCGCTGCAGCCTCAGCATATGCGGCAGCAGCAGGCACAACAGCAGCGGCCTGCGAGTACTGCGGGGGGTGTCCCGACAGGCCAGACACAAACACAAGCAAAGGACCCGTTTGCTGACCTGGTCGGGTTATTCTAAGTCGCGATATTGTTGTATCTTTTGAATTGTTCGGGTGGCGAAGTTCTACACGGACCTCTTGAATTGAGAAGTGTGGATTGTGTGGATGTAGCCTAGTAAACTGCGTGCTTTACAATCACTGGTTTCGTTAACAACGGTTCGTGATCAAGCCTTACAAGCGGTGGTACGGCCGTTCAATTGGCTTTTAGGCTGATGACTTCACTGTCACATCATGGGCGCTCGTTGAGTTATCACTGTACCACCTCCGAAATACTCTCGACTGTGCTATACCCCAATCTTGCCTTGCCTTCACCATGTCCTCACGACCGCTCAGCGAAGATGAAGTGATAACGGAGATGAATAAGATGGTCCGCACGTTGCGAGATTACCATGGGCCCCCGAAACGACCCTGACATTGCAGATTATATGCTGTAGGTTGCGTTTATTAAGCAGGAGGCGATGGAGAAGGCGCGGGAGATTAAGGTGAAGGCAGACGAGGAGTTTGCTATTGAGAAGGTACGCTTCTCCATTCAGGACCGGCCATACCGCGCAGCTGCATGCCCGCTCCCGCAGGCGAAACTGGTCAAGCAAGAGCAGCAAGCCATTGATGCTCAGTACGAGAAGAAACGCAAGGGCGCGGAGGTCGCCCAGAAGATGTACGCTTGTCGTTCTTTACCCCACGTTCCTCCCATCCTCACGTCGCCGCCAGCGCACAATCGACCTTGACGAACAAGTCGCGCCTGCGGCTGCTTCAGCAGCGTGAGGAACACCTCCAGGACCTTTTTTACTCCGCTCGTGAGATGATTCTTGACCTGGCGCGCGACAAGGCTCGCTACGTACAGTTCCTTGAGGGCGTAATCGTGCAGGGCTTCCTGCAGCTGCTCGAGGAGGAGGTCACTGTGCATGCACGCGAAGCGGACGTCGAACTCGTGAAGCGTGCCACAGAAATGGCAGAGAAACACTACACGGATATCAGCGGCCGGCACGTCACTGCGATTGTTCAGGCGACTCTGAACAAGGACCTGTAGGTGTCCTCGTCTCATGCTGTGTGATGGTGTTGACCATTCATGGATTCGTTGGTCGCTCAGTGCTGGCGGTGTCAAGCTCATGAGCGGAAATCAGCGCATCACACTAGACAACACATTGGACGAACGACTTCGATTGCTGGAGGATAGGGTGCGTTTCTGCATCAGAGGGCTACCGAATGTCGCTCACTGCATGCACAGATGCTTCCGGAGATCAGAAGCGATCTCTTTGGTCCCAATTTAAACCGCAAATTCTACTCATGATCGCTTACTGGTCATTGCCACCTGTTCAGTGTGTACCTACTCAAGGACTTGCAGCTTACACACACAAGTATATGTATGTACAGAATACCATTATTGCGGATAAAATAGCCGGTTGCGACACATATGTTCGCGCTGCTTATAGCACAAGACCCTATGCTCTCTGCTAGCATGATGGCATGGCAAACGTCACGGTATTGATTGGCAGTTTACGGTAAGTGTGCCCTTCGTTCAAGTTTTACTTTATAAAAAAATACTGATAGTCTTCGGACGGGAGGCAGATGCGTAGATGCTATGGATGTCGCTAGCATGCTGCCAGTCATGCACACATTGACCCTCACACTTTCAAAAGCGAGTACATACGATCGGCTGATTGTCTTCGAGGGCACATGCTGTCGATTCTCTGAACTGGAAAGGATACAAGTAACGCAGGTACCTGAGCGAGATGCGGCGAGTCTACCAAAGTCCACGGTCTGACATAAGCAGCGTTGCCATGCATTTGCAAGCCCACGTATCAGACTCTCAGGGACTGGGATCGATGATATGTTTTCGACATACGAACTAGACAAATCATTGGCTCGCGCCACAAGGACTAGACGTGATGCGACATAAGTTGGGAGTGTCTTCCTTTAGTCCTCTCGCGGCGGGCACGTCGCTATGGATTGTCTTCAGTTCTTAGTAGTACGTCCGCCTCACTGCTTCTCAGGATTTGCGCATTTTCTCCTAGATGGAGGCTCTCCATTTATACTACTCGGTCACAGGACTCGACAATACTGAATAGATGGAAAGCTGACGCAGTTTCATGCTTTGGGGCATGGAAAACTCTCCTCTTGTTGAGTATCATATCGGACCGCTCGTAACATACACTGATGACTTCAGATCGCATGCTTTTGGTATGCCTTCATGAGAAATATTGAGGACTTTGGCATGTACTGCCGTTGACCGGGGCTTAGAAACAAGTGTCGCCTCTTGATGTTCGCCTGGTCATCATCTGCTTCAGATCCGCGGTGGTCCTCTATCATACTGTCATATGTCAATGGTGAGCCGTCTTCAATTTAGTACGATTGACCAGAATTCTAGGCCTATTGTGCGGAGCTGAAGCTAAAAGTCGCAATCACGAAACTCACTGGCCCTTCGTAGGCCATTTACAGTACAGCAGACACGTGGTTCCCTTTGACAAAGAACATCCTCAGGAGGAACTTGAGCGGCTTTCCCGCAGCCACTCTCAAGGCATACCTTTCACTAAGTTATCCTGCTATTGTTCTTTGCTAAACTTGTTCTCTACTTGACGATGAACTATGTCAACTGAGTTACCATTGGCCTTCCTGGACACATCAGTGGATATATGTACTAGCCGTTCTTTCTCTTGAAGACAACAGCATGCTTTCACCTTGCCTCTCATTGCTCTGACGCCATCAGACTATCAGTTGCGCCAAGTATTTTTAGTCAAATGAACGCAAGCGAAGGCACAGGTCCCTGTGCTTCCTGGTGCCTTTTCCAAGCTGTGAATTGGCGCAGGCTTCGCGATTGGAGCAGTCTGTTGCCTCGCGGGTGCGCCAGTCAGCGGTGCCTTGCCCGGGAGTAATCGCACGTTGTACTAGATGGTCATCATGTTCAATAGTCTACTGGATTCACGCCGCGACCCCAACTTCATTTCAGAAATAAGAATGTCAGTGCCTGTGTGCTGGCCTGATGCCAAGTGTTACTCTCCAAGCGCGCAGATACGCGGTATTTCTCGATGTCTCCTTAAGATGACCCCTTGGATGACGATTTCGATGCACATTCGAATAATTACAATGACTTGAACGGCCTAAGATGAATTTGAATACTACGTGCCTGCTGAGGTCGAACTCGCTAGAGAATATGTCCTCAACAACGGTCCGTGCAGTGACTAAACCCAAAGGATTATAAGTTCAAAGTCTGTGTTAAGCCGCCAAAGGTAGTAAAGGAGCAAATTACGCTGCCATCATAAACGAGCTCGACTGGCCGCGAAACTATGTTCTGATCGACCTTGACGGCTACCGAAGTAAGCCTCGAATCAGCCCATTCTATATCTAGAGTCATGCCTCCCCTGATGCGTGCACCCTTGATGGAGCCCGAAGGCCAAACGCCTGGCAGCGCGGGCAGAATGGTCACGACCAAGGGAATAGAATATGATGCGACATCCGGCGCTTGTAGCAGGCCATTCTGATTGTGACAGGCGGTCATTCAACGCACGTCGCAGAAATGCTGTGGATGACGTACCAGGAGGGCAGCAGGGTAACCGAGGTTTGCGTCTATTTGAAATATTCCGTCGAGTACACCATCGGCGGGGGTGTAAATGCTGAAGAGGTTGTTCGCAATGTTTCGTTCAACTGCGTACTGACGAACACAATTTGTTTAGTTCTCAGAATGAGAGCAGGAGACGGCATAAATGATGCCCACAGAGAGCTCAAAGTAGAATCCACTGGCATTAGCCAGCTGCGCCCAGCATGCTGCTCGCCAAACTTTCTCCCAGCCTGCGTCAGCATCAGGACCTGTACCGTTTCCACGGTGGAATAGGCTGGTCTGCGCTGCGGCCAGCACGTCACTCTTGCTGTATCCCGTAGTGCTTCCATTCTGGATGGACTCGTTGTAGGATGTGATTGCATAGCCGGGATATAGACCGATAAGGTGGGATAGATGACGGTGAGTATCAGTCGGGGAGTCCATATCGACCTTCCATTCTGTGCTGTCGTGAGTGAAAACAAGGTATCATAGAGAAGATGAGCCGACCTTGAAGCTGTCCCCACCAGCCAATGTGTATGCCCTTGTCCATCTGTGCCCGCTTCGCTCGTACCTCTGAGGAACATCGCGCATCTCAATCGGGCGATCCTCATTTTGAGACGAGCACAGCTTACCTTCCAGGAATTCCACGTCATCATCTCCAGACGCGACATAGCCCTTCTCGACGGCATTGAAGAGCTGCCAGATGACCTGCTGGGCATGTGGGCAGCCTGGAAGCATCTTAGCGCAGAGCAATAACGAACAGCATGGACAAGCGTACCGAAAGTGATGGGGACTTGCTCAGGAGAATTGCACGGATTTGTTACTAAGGTCGCGTCGTTGAAGTGCAGATCCGGGATGAGCTTGTCCAGATGGAATTGTGCGACACCCTGGAAGGTGATGTTATACGACTGCGCTTTCTCGCATTAAAGAATGTTAAGCCATACCTTTAGAAGAGGCCACCCTTGGGACTTGAACCATTCTACATCATTGGTGTAGTCAAAGTGATCCCAGACATGGATCATCTGTGGATATCAAATGAGATCACTGAGGTCAATGTACATTGGCGCGCTCTATTTGCACTGACCATCCACACGGCGGATTCTGAATATCGAACGTTCAGTACGCTATGGAGGAAATGATCTACCTATGAACTCACCAGGATAATCAGCCCATTGTGCAGAGTTACTTTCCAACTTCATACCCGTATGACCAAATATCTGCCAAAGTAACAGATCGCAGGAATATCCCAAACTTTTGCAGAACACGTACGTTCATCTGACATGAGAAATGCACCGGTGTCAGATTCCACGAGTTGGAAAGCCCTCATAGCGCACCTCGTCATGAGTAACCCAACCACGAGAGATATTATACAGGATTTGTGCTGTTTCCGCACCTCGCGGCACCCAAGTTTGCTAATAGTACAGGACACAGTTTAGAAAGGCACCAAAAAGAGGACAACAAACTGACCTCTATATAATCAAACAATGGTATCACGACGTCCATATTGGTCATCTCGGCGAACCAATGGTTCATCTGTATATTGATGTTCGAGTCTAACGGATGACTGAGATTTGATAACGTTCATGTAGAGCAAAACTCTACATCTTACGATAATCTGTAACGTAAAGAACGTCAAGTCCAGTCCATATACCATGAGGCATGCGGATGAGCATAACACACCTGCACCCCAAGCGTTACTCCAAGTCTCCACCCATTTGCCCTGCAGATTCGGTGGCAATGTGCCACGAGCACTGCTTGCAAGCATGTATCTCCCAAAGTTAAAGAGGACCCATTCCAGATACGGATTTCCGACATTGTACTGGTAAGCATCCTTCAGCTGATCGGTGGGTGTCGCGAAATCAGGCGTCTGCCCCAGTGACAGGGAGAAGGACGACATGACTGAAGTGTAGTCTGCAACATGCGCCGCAAGCAGGTCGGCATACGTGCTATCAGAGGCATTTGTGCCAGAGAGCAGCGCGAGAAGGGCATCATGCGGATCTGGACCAGCGAACGAAAACCCATTCGCGGCATTGCCAGCGTACATGTCATAGTTCGTCCCGCCAACCCAAAAGATCCAGGCCTCGCTTGCATTCTCGACACTGATTGTTGCATTTGCTCCAGACGCGGTGCACGAGACAGTGGCGGAAGGAGATGCATACACGCGTGCGAGGACCTCGTAGGTCATGCCGGGATCGTTCACCAAACCCCTAACCATGAGCGTGGACTGATCGTAGCATGTTACGTTAGGCACAGGGAGCCCTGCGTCTAAGGCGATCGAGAAAGCATAAGTGAGTTCGGGTAGCGAATCGGCACTCGTGTTGAGATACTGAATGCACGCTTCGGCCGGATTAGAGCAAAATTGCTCTCTGGAAGTACAGAGAATTTCAGGACCGTCAACGTGGCAGTATCTACCGCCGCTCACCTAAAGTATGACGCGTTTCCTTGTGACCACTGAGTGCGTGCCACAGCAAGGTCAAGATCCAGCCACCGAAAGTAACCAGTCACATCGCCAGCCACGTCCAACGTGGTCAATAACGATGGAGCTGCAGCATATGAGCCTATTCGTGGCCTTCAGAAGGAATGATGGAGATATCAAAGTTATCTGATTCGCACCATATGCCCCGGCTAGAGTCATCAACTCTTCGATGTCTGCGAAGAGTTAGACATGTGGATCGCTCTGATATGTTGCTACCTACTGTTGATCGTGCCGTTTTCGCTTTCAAAAATTGCCGCACGATAGGCCTCCATATCCGCAGCCATTGCCGCTTGCTGCCAAGGAAGTTTGTTGCCACCGTTGTAAGACTGTCGACAGAGAGAAACGAAGTGTCATCAGCTACCTGTCATTCATTCTCGTAAACCACTAAAAAAGGATCCAGGCCTTCCAATACGCTGTAAATGGTCATATAGCGGCGCATATACCCGGACCAAAGGTTAGGTTAAGTACGAATCATGCGCTTACCGAGTTCTCCATAGGCCCACCAGACCAAAGAGATTCGATATTCACGTGCATTGTCTCCTGCACGGTCTCTCCCGGCACAGTGGCTAAGGTTCTATGATGAGGATCACAGCTAGAACTTTCCACAAAAAGTCCTTACCTGCAAGGTATCCATTGCCAATAGGCAGCCATTCACTCGACCACGCGTCACTTTGACCTGGAGATGTGTACCATAGCCCGTTCCCAGAACTCGGGAAGACAGCAGGTGCTGCCGCAGCAAGAGAACCGAGACACAGGTATATCAGGGCTGTCTTAAATGATGCGGATAGCATGACGCTGCACCTTGGACAATGGGCTGTGAAAGTGGGGAGAGCAACCCAGCGATTTCTAAGGGCACCTGGCTCATGGTCCTATAATCCCTGAGGCTTAAACGGACAATGAATAGGGCTTCAGTGCCTGAGCTCTTCCTTTGCCGTTGAGTGACGCCTCACATGACGATGAGCATACGTTATTACGTACAATATGTGGCCCGAAGCAACTCGATCGCACCCTGTGTCCTCGAGGAGTCGAGAACCAGCAAAGCGAAGCCTGTATACCCTCGAGACGACTGGACAGGTGGTGTCAGTGCCGGCCGAACCCATCAATGTCACTGCAAAGGCACCGGGGATGTATACTGTCGGGAGGCGACTTCCCGCGTAGATGCTGTCATCCCCATGTGAGTACATCGCGAATGAAGTGTCAAGTGACCCAGGTGAGAAGATGGTGGCCCGCGGACACCTTATATGCGACTCACATGAGTAGTTTTGCGGCGAATGCGAGCTGTTCAGATAGAACCACCGCTATGAACTTCCGACCACACGGGTCGTTATCGTCTGAACATCCCGCGAGGGTTAGATATCTAGGCTCAACAGATTATCAATGAAACTGCAAGCCTGACGTTGTTCGCGAGTCTGGACGCAGCACAACAACGATCAAGACCACCTGAAAGGTTAATCGTTCTGGTGAAATGAGCGTTTGACCCTGAGAGTCGGTTAGGAGAATCATTCAAGAAAGGCGCCACTATTGGCTGCTTAGTCGCCCATCAGGCAGATCGGGCCGCTGCATCCTGCAATGACCTGCATCTATTCCTGCGCAATTTCTTTTGAGTTCATTTCGCGAGAACTCCATGAGTTTAGTGGAAAGAATGATGCTGAACAACTAATTGTTTGGTACTGACAACTGGCAGAGACAACGAGTAGAAAGCGACCGTGGACAATAGAGACAGTCTTCACTATATCATGGAGAATCCACTGACAATTGGAGGAATAGGAGCTGGTATCCGTGATGGTAAGAAGATATCGTCCACAAGCTGCAGGCGAGCCGACGGTTATTCGACCTGCGGGAACCGGCACACCGCGTGAACAATCGGAACGCCCGTTAGACATTTCCTTGTTCAGCGCTGCGGTGATGCACAATAGAAGGTTCCTGGGAGCGCTGGAGGTTCGATCCTTGTTATTGATGCCCAGGCTGCATTACTGTACTGACCTGCATGTCTGCGACACAGAGCCATTGGTCGCCAAAGACTCGAAACGGAGTCTCGACCTTTTCCATGAAGCAGTGGATGAGTGCCGGAACGCTCTGCATTGAGAATTTTGTCCCCCTTCACGTCCTTAAAGACACCATTCCATTCAGACTCGTGAAAACACACGATTCGGGGTGCAGGGGCCTTCGCCGATCTAGAACATCACCTAATGATCACTTCTGATCGAATTCGAGACTGAGATTGTTCCCGCGGCGACACGAAAGCTCGGTCGAGCTGCATGCTTTAAGCGGCATGGTCGTCCCAACATTCAGAATGGTAAAATTTCAGCTGCCTGAAATCCTCCTGCGAGGACTCTATTTCTACTCTACGCCACTAGCTAGGACTTGTCATTCTCTATTGTCGCACCCCATAACAAATCATGGCCAACGTCTGTGCCGTTTGCAATTGTCTCTCCGCAAACCGAGACTGACGAGCTATGCATAGGAGACGATCGAACGCACTGGACTGCCAGACTTTCCAGAGACCAAGCCCCCTCATGCAGTGGACCGAGAGGTAGCTTCCGAAGGTTGTGTCGGTGATGTAGGGAACCTCAAGCTCATTGTATATCGGGTCGGATTTCAAGTCCAACGCGAGCTGCGCAACGACTTTGAACCATGGCTAAGAGTATGGGTAGCTTCCTTCGCATCTCTGTCACGACTCACTTTGTTATTTCAGTACTACAAGGCCAAGGTCGAAACCGCAGACTGGGGCAAGAGGGTCGCCCAATTCTCTTATCGGCTCATCAACGGCAACTTCGTCGAAGACTATCAGGAAGACCTACAGATGTCCGAACAGGGCGGTCAGGTACAGGATCTTCACTTTAACCGCATACTCTCTCACTAGCGACCTCTCACACAGGAGCTGGAAGAGATCGGCGGCCTGCTCTTCGACAAGCGCGGTGCTCTCCAAACACGTTGGCTCAACGGCCAAGAAGCCGGCACGAAAGCCTTTGGCCCTGAGATCAGCACTACTGGCGTGAAGATCGCAGTATTGAGCTGCACGGATAGCCCCAAGGGCGATTTTCTCATTGTCGACCAGCCCTTCCGTCACCGTGGCGTCGCCTCTTGGGCGCTTCAAACGCTCTTCCATATGTTGCATGAAGAGGTATGTCCGTCATGTCGCAGTTATTCACACATCAAACTCATGAACAAGCAGGGCGTCAAGTTCATACTGACCCGACCGTCGGTTCCTCTGATATCTTCGAACCTACAGGGTTCTTCCGCAGAAGCCCAACTGCTGAGGCGCAACCTTGCATTCGTCCGCAAGGTACCAACACCTCGCCCGCTCTTTTGCCGCAGTACGAGATGACTCACTCTCTCCTGCTTCGTACAGGCTGGCTTCCGCCGAGTCGGCACTTCGCCGATCTTCGGATACTTCCTTCAGGACGACGCCCATCCCTCCCGCAGCCTTCCTGCAGAAGCTGACGTCGTAAGCATCACCGCGTTTTCGGCCGAATGCCCCTGGCTGATTCACGTGTGACACACAGGACCCCGCGTAGCTCACCTCACGTCACCTAGAACGATCAGAAGGCGAGAACGAGACTGTCATTCCATCCAATTCCATTCATGAAAATAGATATGTCTCCTTACGACCCTCATGACCAGAGGATGATCGATACCACGCAGTCTGTTTGATGTATACCTGCCTCGAGCCACTCAATCCAACAATCTGTCCTTCCTGCGGCGCTAGCTCTCCCTGAGAGGCGCTTTTACTTACGTACCATCGTGCTCAATCGCCGAGATGACTCAGCCTTCGCTGTTCTGTAGATTAGCCGATGAGCAGCCCCGCGCTACGAACTGCCTGGGTGTATGTGATGGCGGTAAGGCCTCGTCCAGGCTTTCACAAATTGTTATGTATTGTGGGTCCCCTCGTCACCCTTCACCGTTGTCGCGCCAGGAAGCAGGTTCTACCGGTACACAGCCCGCAACAAATTCCCCCTCGTTTGTATGGTCGGCATCTGTGGTAGGCCGATATGCTGCATGAAAACGAACCGTAGGCGTGGCGAAGCGCGATTCTGAAGGTAAATTCTTTCTGTAACTGACCGGCTATGAACTCTACGTGACATATGTTCCATTTCGATGCAAGCTGAGCCCATTTAAAAGCCGCCACGCGTGCGTTTCCATACTGCATCACACCCTACTCCGCTGCTGGCTCATGGCCGATTTGTGAAGGATAGGCTCACGGATCCACTTTTCAAGTGATCGCGTAATGTGTTTCAGGACCGACCGTGATACATCGCTATGCCAATGCCCGCGTGAATTATCGAGACGCCGACTTTTTGGAAGCTTCTGGGGCCCAGCATGCGTGACCCGGGCCCCTTGCGCTACTTCATCGATTAATATTCTTCAACGTTCGAAACTCCTTTCGCTCGGACGCGCGTGTGGCACTTCACATTTAACATTTGGGTTTTAATACCCAATGGATAGGTTTATGTTGAACTGCGCTTGCGAGGGTACATGCCATTCCTTACCTCTCCGGTCTACTGCCATAACTTTGCTTAATGCGGATCGGACAGTGTGCTTCATGATGCTAGAAAACAATAAAATTAGCGACCATTAACTGAGTAGACAATTTAGAGATGTGAGAGGAGATTACTGTGAGGGTGAACACTCGATGATCACAAAACATCGTGGCATGATGATAGTCCGTGCTTTAAATGGACTCCGACGCGCTTCTGTGATTTTCTTTGTGCATATCCCATCACGCAGATGTTTATCTTCAACTTCATATGTTTTGATTACAGAAATACTAATATACTAGTCTTAGGGCTGAGAACCGGGCAGAATCAACCCAGCAGCATTTAATTACAGTGCCACCTGATAATCGCTTCTTCAGCGCCTTGGACGCGACGCGACGCGTTCCGTCACGTGGGCGCGTCAGTGGATGGCGCCGTCATTGGACCCGTCCAAACTCCCCTCTCTTTCATTTGTTGCTCATTGCTTGGGGATTTTCGCTGGTTGGCCACCGAACTGTTGCTCTATTATGGATGCTGTAGGAACATCTATGACTCACAGCTAAGTGTGCTTAAAATATCCGAAGGGATACTTTCTCGAAAGACTCTAATAGCTGCATACGCCATACATTTAAGAGTCACATGGTGCTGTTAACTCTATTCCTGCTCTAGCAGTGACTTGGAATACTGCTATTGAGAAGTTCATCTCATTCGTTGCGCATCTTAATGCCTCCTGTGGGCACCTTAGAACGAAATCTTCTGTTCATAGCATAAGTGCACGCACAGGGAAGTCATGTCTCCGTCTACTCAACGGCTTTCTCAGCCTTCATTAATTCTACGATCAGTGGGTATTTCTCCGTATGGACGCATTCCTAACGCCAAATCATCCATCTGCATCCTGCCTTGGACCTTGGACGGAAGTCTCAACTCATCCGAAAGATTTCAATGAGCGCGTTTTTCTCGTGCCTCCCTCATGCCTCTTTGTCGAGTCCCTTGTCCTCTCGTAGGATCCGACCAAGTATTCAGGAATAACTTTGCGCACGAACGTTCTCTTTCCGATACTCTTCAAGTTGCCTATGAGGTGACCTTCTGCAAGCAGATGTAAGATTCCGTACACTGAGTCATCCATCTCGCACCCAATCCACCTCTCATCCGATGGTCCGTCCACGCCTCGACCATATGGTGTTGTAAATGTTGTTGAATTGTCCATAGATAAAATGTGCACGATTCTAGGATCTACAGAACGTGTTTCTTGGCGACAACGAACGCTTTGGCCTGACTGACGAGTTATGAGGAACAATTCCTCTGGACGCGCCTAAATCAAAGTCTTCTTGGTGCTGCGTTGAGCTCTGAAGTTTCCGCGACCTCATTGATATTCTCAACGCATTCTGATAGTGCGAAATGTGACCTCCGGCTTAGCAGCCATCGATGTGGTAATTCGCCGTGAGTGATGTATCGCGACGCACCGTCGGGTCGGTGTCCACATCCGGTGGTTGCGATACGCCCCGCCCGTAAGACGGTACCTGCGGTCTCGACACTATCTTGCGGGCCTTGGGCGATGGTCCATCGTCTGCAGTCTAAATTAAAGAAGCGAAGGCGCGTACAAAGATCGGCCTTCATTCTCTCATTCATGCTCCCATTGCTTCATCGTGCTGAACTCCCTGCACCTCTATCGTTTCATCTAGGTGAGACACGCGGTGTTGTATGTATGACAGCGCGCGCGTCCGAACTAGACGGCAGAACCTTGTGTTGGCCGGATTGCGACCGATGGAACAACCCGGTGAGTGTTGCGCGGGTCTGCGAGCGATCCCCCGAGGACCATCTACGGGGATTTGTGTCCAATTGGCGACATGGTTACTGCATGTGAATTGCCTCCAGACGAGGCAATATGTCGGGCTTCCTCATGCTTCAAGGGAGAACACGCGGGCTTCAATAGCCCTCATGGGATTCTGATATGCTTACATAGATGGAAATGGAAAGGATACGCATTCATGCCGCGGCGAACCATTACCTTACTCATCTCGTCGAGTCTTACAAGCTTTTCCCATGCAATGTGATAGTTCCTGAGATCCTGGGAGAGAACGCCCTGACTTCAGCTATGTCGGAGGAGGCGAACACTGCGGATGATGGAATAGCTGACATTTACGGGCTCGTCCATGGTTGACTTCGTTGCCGTAAACACAACTCAACAATTACCAGTTCATTACACAGATTGAAGCACGTCAGTGCGATGCTGATCGCGTCCAAGCTGCATATTCTTCCGGTTGCCTTTCTCTTGCAACGACTCCTGCGGTCAGGTTGCTCCTGCAGTCAGGTTGCTCCTGCACTGCATGTGAAATTAAACGGTATCCAGCAGTGCAAGATGCTGTGGTCTTGGTGCTAATGTTGGGATCTCGTTACGGTTCCTGATCACTTCATTCCTTGACATTGATTACTAACGTACATTCGACTCGTGCGACGTCGCCACGAAAAAGGCCACAACTTCGCGACCCCGCGTTCATGCTGTCACCATTGCATGGCAGGGCATTCAATATTCATTCTCCGGCCTCCGCAATCCAAGGAGATTCTGTCATCTGCCGGGACATGCCAGGTGCTTACTCCATTTGCGAGGCACATATGATGTAACTCCCCTCACTCACCACTCGAACCGCTTCTCCTATCCATCCTGCATCATACCAAGCCCAAGCTCAACCGAGGAACGCGCTGTGGAACCGTTCTCCTCTCATACGTAGCGAATCTCGAACCAATCGACAACGGCCGTGCAGCGTGCGCTTAAGCGTCCGCCCGCCGCCATCTGGGCGGCGACCTGCCCCTCCGGGACATGAGGGCTCGTGCCTTTACGAAAACGGCACGCTTCACGCTTTTGTGAAAACCAGGAACGAGGGTGGTGTTTTCCGGAGCGGAGCGCGGGACGCGCGATGGCAGCTTGCACGCAACTTGGAGACATGCACGCATGCAGCCCTGCCAGAACAATCTGCCGTGCCCCTTCTCCGAGCTCTATCGGCCTTAATGCGCCTCCTTGCACACAGCCCGGCGCTGCGTGCCTCCGAGCTGCACAAAGGTTAGCACGCAAAATCCACGCTGGCGAATGCACACCGCTCGCCATGATGCATGAGCTGTAAGCATTGTCTATTCGTTCCTTGCACAAGCACCGACCAACAACCGACTAATGAAAAAAAAACGCAATGTTAAGCTAAATGTACTGGAAACAAACAGGAGAGAAGAGTGGATCAGCGAAGCGGCGAGGCGAAATAAACGCAGCGAGCGTGTGTTCAAGTGTGTGCATCAAAAAAGAGCGGAACGGTCTTTCGACGGCACCACGGCCAGCGTCGCCGAAAGACCAGGGAGCACATGCGCTACGCAACGCAGCAAGTGAAGGGTACGTAGCATATGGTAAACGAGAGTCAGAGCCAAACGAGAGACGAGACACAGAACACAGCGCTACACCGACTCTACGCGCACGCGATACCATACTGGTCGCTAGCTAAGCAGTTCAAAGACGAGTCCGCGAGCTTTGTATACGTATATGGTTATTGTCAAAAATTCAATCAGAAAGTCCGTCGATACGACCAGGTGGGCAGGTTTTCGTCCTGTGTCCAGTCGGTCGATCCAGGTCCGCATGTATGTGGCAGCCCGAGGGTATCGAGTGAGGAGGCAGGAACAGAGGCGGCGTGAGCGTAGAGAGCGTAACGTGAGCGAAGGAAAAGGGGCGTGCGCAGCAGCATCAGGAGAAACGATGAGGATGAGGAGAGCCGCGAAAGCGTCTAGCAAAGCTTCCACATCTTCACTGAGGATACCCGGAACGCGCGATCCGCAGCGTCGCTCGGCCACGACGCAGCCCAAGTGCTCTGTGCCTCCGCGAACTCTCGCATCGCCGTATCCGATCCGTCGTACCACGGCTTGTCGCCCTCGCTGTCGGGGAACCACCCGTTCGTGCCACCCGCTGCAACGTCCAGAATTAGATAGAACTCCTGGTCGAACGGAGCATTTGGTCCGCCGCCGGCCTGCTCCCAGATATTCTCCACGACGACCTCGCTTGACCCGTTCTGCGTCGTCGTCGGGTAGTCGCCGCGGTCGAAGAAGCTCTTTCCGCCACGTCCTTGGATCTTCGACTCCACCATCGCGTGCAGCCGCGAGTCGACATAGATACGCATCCAGTCCGCTGTCCATTCGAGCGAATACGTGTGGAAGCCCTCGCTATAGGGCGTCATCTTGCTGTCCCACCATCCATAGAGCGTTGTCTGGAGCGACGCCATCACACCGTATATAAGCTGGCCTCGGACATAGTCTACTCCCTGCGCGGGGTACGAAGACGGATTTCCACGAGCCATCATGATCTACTCAGGCTCATAAACGAAGAACACCAACAGAGAGAGGCAGAGAAGGTACATACGTCAATTTCACCGCTCATCGGCCACGCACCGTACGTGTTGTTGACGGGCAACATCCAGATAGCCGGCCAGAGCCAGTCACCGGACGGGATCTTCGCGACGACCTCGACACGACCGTATTGGATGCTGTACTTGCCCTGAGTGCTGATACGCGCGGACATGACCGGGTTGACAACTGCGCCAGTGCTGTTCGACGACGAGACCTCACAAGCAGTCTGCCGCGCAACGACAATCAGCACTTGTCAGTACTGCAACCTACAAAGTACTCACGGTGTTCGTGGTCGAGCAATCCGGCACCTTAAACGTGTAACCGTCAAAGATTTTAGACGTGCTGTCAATGTAGTCACTCGTGAGTGTCGGCATGATGTACAATTCGTTGTCCGACACATAGAGGTTCTGGCTGAGCTGTGTTGTTGCCTGGAACTCGCCGTGGCTGCAAGAAGCATACTCGTTAGCACCACGTTCTCAATACCTCGACGCAAAAGGTGGACAGCAAAGATCGAACAGGTCATGCGTCGTGGCCAAGCGTACATGATCAAGCGTACATGATCGACATGTGCACCGCCAAAGGGATACCGCCGCCAGATGGGGCGGTGCGCGGATCTTCCGTAAGAGGAAACTGGCGGGAAGATGGCGAGCCCAGCGCTACCGCTCATTAGCGCAGGGGAATGTGCCCCTGTTCTGGCCCACATCCTTCATCACACCACCACCAGCAACGAGCACCATGCATGACTTGACGCCATCTTCAAATCAAATTGCACAAAATGCAACACTCACTCGAAGCCACCAAGCTCGTTGTCTGCGACCCACGTGCTCGAGAGGTCCAATCCACCACTCCAGTCCTCCGAGAGGACGGAGCACAGTTGGCTGTCGGTGAGGTAGAACTGGCCGGTGTAGTTGTACCAGATAAGCACGCCGGCGACACCACAGCCTATGATCATGCCCATGATCGTCAGCCAGTAGCCGACGCGCTCCCGCCTGCTTCTTGTCGCCAGCCATGGCTTGTCCTCTACAGTCAGCTTCTGCGTAATCCTATCGATAGTCAAGGTGAGCCGTTCAATTCTTCCCCTTATCAGCCAACATTTGGGCACGCACCTGGAGCTGGGCATGATTGGCTTGCTCTTCCTGAGCTGCGACTGGATGTCCTGGTATGAAGGATACTGGCCTGGATATAGGTAGCCCGAGCCACCGCCAAAGCTGCCGGCGCCGGCATAGTTGTTCAGCGCGGTCGAAGATCCGCTCGCAGGCGCATATCCATACGGATAGCTCGGCGGAGCCCATAGACTGCTCCCTGGGCGCGACGCAGGACTGAGGAACGGGGCGCGCATGTTGATAGTTGGGACCGAGCTCGTGCGTGGGAGACCCGGCCCACCAATATCTGATGGTTGCGAAGGCGGTTGCGATGCCAGCGAAGGGTATGCGTTGGAATTCGCGTATGGCCGTGAGGACACAGGGAAGGAATTCCGTGGTGGAAAGGTGGGAGGGGTTGAGGCAGAGGCGGCAAACGTCGAGGAAAACGCGGGCGTGAGAACAATGTTGGGCGTTTTTGGCGTCGAGGGCGCAGAGGGAGGAGCGGAAGTGGGCACAGCGGCTGACGGTCAGCTCAACGCCAGCAGTACGCTAAGGAAAGACGGTACGTACCATAGGCACCGGGGCCGCCGCGCATAGGACTTGGGGGCGTCTGAGAGCGATCAGTTGCGTCGGCCATGTATGGCGCATATGGGCGGCCGAGATCGTCGACCTCGCCAGCGCCGATGGGGCCGTATCCGCCAGCACCGCCGGAAGGGTAGGCAGTGCCCGTGCCAGTTGGCGAGAGCGGATTGTTGGCGTTCGCACTCATGGGGGCGTTGAGGGCGTGGGGCTGGCCGCTAGCGACGTAGGCCGCGTAAGTGGAATGGCCGCTGTTGGATGGCGAGCGGGCATCGTCACGAAGGCTCTCTAGCGAGTTTCGTCTGTCCATGGTCCTGCGAGGAACGGGGTCGGGGTTGCCTGCGTGGCTCTGGAAGGGGTATGCGGACGGAGGGTTGCGCTGGGCGCCGTTCTTCTCTGGGACAGCAGGAGGTGCGTTGGGATTATTGGAGGCGTAGTAGGAATTACGGGGAGACTCTGTGGGCGAGCCAAAGGGGTTGGGACCCAAGGAGTGGATGGAGGAGTGGCCGTGGGAGGAGGGGGAGAGCGGCTCGTCGTGGTCGTGGTCGCTGTTCATGTTCGATGCGCGCCGCTGCGCCCGGGCCCGGCCGCCCCTTTGCGCAGCGCCCGGCGTCCCCGGTCCCGGCACCGGCTGCGTCGCCGACCGCACGTGAGGCGTCCGCATGGAAACTCGCTGCACGTGTACTCCGCCGGCTGCCCCCGTCCGTCCCGCCGCACCTACGCCGGCATTGTTCCCGCCCGCCGCGCCGACCCCGGCGAACCCTGCGCCAGCCTGAGAGTCTGAGTCGCTCGCCCCGTCGAGCTCGCTGCTCGACCACGACCGCCGGTCGTCTCCTGCGATGAATTGCGGTCGTGGCGGGCTCAGCGGCATCGCCTCCTCCTGTGACTCGCGTCGGCGTGCTCGGGAGCCTGAGCGCGCACGAGAGGTAGGTTGCGGGGCGGTGGATGCTGAGTGCGGGGAGGTTAGGTGTGCATACATTTCCGAAAATGTGGCCATTCGCGTACTGTTAGGTACCGCACGGTATGCATCTGCACTCGAGTAGCCACCTTGTTGCGAGTTGTCCCGCCTGCGGTAGGCCATGCTGTGGTTGTGGTGGTAGTAATTGAAGAAGTTGCGGTGAGTGCGTTCGTCCCTCTCGTCTGTTTAGGCAGGTGCTATGGAAGCAGTAAATGTATGCTCAGATGAAGCTCAACTGGTACTAAATGAAGTGGGCTTGGAGAACAGCAGGCGATAAGGATCGAATGTAGTGAAGCAGTGTAAAAATGGACGAGAAGACAGCGAATGAAGATTACCTGTCGTTGTGAAGCACTGCCCCGAAGTACGTGTGTTCCCGCGACGAGAAAAGAGCGAACTCTGCGCGAGAGGCGGTGGAGAAGGAGAGAAAGACAACGGAGCACGCCTCGAGGCCAATTCGTGTCATTGCCTCGCCATCTCCACTTGCCTCGTGCATGCGCTCTCCGGGGGCCCCCCGAAGATTCCCCTCCACATCGCGCTCATTCCCGCCCCAGGGCCACAACTAGCCAGCGTACTCTCAGCCACCACCGCGTCCCCGGCTAACGGCTCTTCACATTTCACCCGACGCCTCTTGGACGAAAACGTTGCCGACTTTCCTTCTTGGGTAGCGGCTACTCGGCTCCCACGGACCCTTGCACTGGCACTCGCTGGTAACAGCTGGTAACGCTCCCAATATACCGAAGGCAGTGCCATACTAGTTGATCGTTGACAGTGCCTGAACATTGCCGTACAGGTCTAGTTCTTACTCTTTCGTCAACGCTCTCGCCCGCACAAGCACTCTCAGAAGTTCCATTTCCAAATGTCTACACCTGGGCTTCTCGTCTCCTCTGTGCGGCCGCTCGACAACTCGTATCTGTGATCATCTCGTTATCTACATTCCACACTCGGTTCCCATTCGTGATGCGGGTTTGTTTTAGGTAAATCCGGTTTGATACAATGAATTCGTTGCCAAAAAGAGGAGTACTAAGCCCAATCATACTACACAGGCCCATGTCCAGGGTGCTATATGCCGAGTACACATACTTGTACCTCGCAGAGAAGAAAGTACTGATTCTCATTGTAGGAAGATTTTATCAACCTTTGCCATCAAATCAACAGTTTTGAAGAAAGCCTTGCAAATTCCATTTTCTGGGTTACGATCTGTGCCAAACTGCCTTTACTAACTAACTCACAAAAATGGAAGGATGCCACAGAAAGGAAAAGTCAAAGGAAATTTGCCGCGTTTTTTCACACCTTTTGGAATCAGTCGTGACTGAGAATTGAAGGTGTTCCCTCACCAATGGCTGATGATTGCATTGCCGACATGACAGTAAGCTGTTCTCGATTTCTTCAACCATGAACCCTTTGCATTTACAAAAATCTGAGAAACTCTCCAGACGGTTGGCTTCCTATCCATGAAATCTCCAGGCGATTTCGGCCACTATGTGGTGAGCACATATCAAAGTTGCATTACAGGCTAATGTCAGCACTCATACTCATACTATGACATCAGCGGCCCGTCGGCTCATACAACAGACGTAATTGACCCGGCCGGCGTGCGAGCAAAACTGAATTTCAGAAATGGGCCACCGGATGCCGGACACTGGGTGAAAAATGCGATAGTTCACATCATATAATTGAGATAATGTACGAAAAAGAGTTCAAATTATGTAAGGGCATTCTCGGTTGAATAAATTGAGAATTATTGAAGATATGCTTTCCACAATCAGCAATGTATAAAGCAAAGGACATTGTTAATGTCTCGTACAAACTATTCAAAATATCATTTTCAATCTTTTTCTAGTCCTGCACGGTGATGATTAGGAACAATATTCAAGAAATTGTCAAAGTTTCATGAGTTACAAGATGATGGAGTTATGATGAGATCATTGAGAAAAATCATGAAAATATGACTTCACTAATTTTAAGCCAAATATTCTGTAAGTATTGTGACCATGTCACAACTTGATGGGCTTCATGTTATGATTCTAATTTACAATAGAACATTATGAGAATCAGAATCATTATGCACTATGAGCCTGCCTCTGATCACAATATGCCCATCAAGTTATCTATATTATTAAAATGTTAATTGATATTATATGTCTGTGTTATATTTTTAAAGTTTAGAGTTAAGTTGCATTGACATGCACCAATTTGTGCTAATGATGGTTAGTATAAAGTGCAAGCAAATACTAGCGTAATCACATAATACTAGCTAATACTAGCCTGCACTATATTGTTCTAGCTTGTACTACATTGTACAAGCAAAGCAACAGCCAGTACTAGCTTGTACAACAATGTACAAGCAAAGCAACAGCCAGTACTAGCTTGTACTACATTGTACAAGCCAAGCATTGTCTGATTACTGTATCCTTTTGACCATAGGCTCATAGGGTGTGATGTGATGCCTTGAATTGGGCTGGACCCTAGTTTAAGATCTTCTGTGATATGAGACAAAATCTCAGTTCAGTTCAGATGCAAATTCATCTGTATGGTGTGCATATGCACTGAAATGTTCTGCAATCAAAAAATGACAAAAAATGTGTTCGACTCTCATGCTATCAGATAACAAGTCACTGCAATCCAAAGGAGTTGACTTATGAGCTGAAAGAGTCTAGAGTAGTGATGTGCTCAGCCCAGCTCAGCTCAAAAGCCTCAGCTTCAGCTCAGCTTCAGCAGGCTCAGCCTATCACCAATGCACGCCGGGCCTGAGAAAACCAGCTCAGGCTCAGCTCAGCTCAGGCCCGGTGATATGCTCAATTGTGTTCTGACCGTGAGCAGCACTCCTAACCAATCCTACTTGGAAGGTGAACTGAGGCTCTCCGTCTGCGGTGCCTTTGAACTATGGTTGCAGAAAATTTCAGATGATAATGCAGCGATGGGTGGCTGTGAGTCATTCGGCTGTGTTGCGTGAAATGGGTCAGTTCGCAAACTCAGATCAGTGAGTGTCAGACTCAACCAGAGTGGGGTGTCCAACTGAGAAGCAGTTGAAAGCTAGATGGTGGGTATGTGTATGTCTGACAGTTTTTAGAAACCACCTGAGAAATGATAAGCTCACATGATTCAGCACAATATGATGTATAATTGACCTTCATCCCAGCTCATCAGCAGACTCTTTGAGCTGAGCTTCTGCTCCAACCTCACATGCTGGTGGTGGAACTTGCACTGGCCTCAATCTGTCCGGTCTGTCTGTTGATCGACTGCATTGTTACTTTCAGAGATGAGCTTTTTGCACATCTGGTAAATGCATGGATCATCTGAGGGGAGGAAGAAGGCATCGAGCATGGATGACATAGGTCACTGAAGCTTGTTGAGAAGCCTCTTCCAATCACCTGGAAGATCTGAATTTTTCTGGTCCACAGCGAGGAGGTATACATGAGTTCAAGTATGAGGTATAAAAGTTCTTGATATGAACTCGCAAGAAGTCAGCACTGTGCTTATTTTTCTCAAGATACTCAAAGATGTGCTCTCAAGGTGTCGAGCATACGTTCTCCAAGATGACAAGGGGCAGCCGGTTACTCTTCTCCCAGGACGTCATTCCTCAAAAGGTCCTTCCAGACTCTCCATTCACATCGATGTCTTGCTTCTCACTGTTGAGATTGGAATAATCGATGCAGGAGGTACTCGTGATGAGAATGTGGACATTTCCAGAGATGCATGTTAGGGACCTGTAAGCTGTTGTTCTTCATTGCAAACATTAGATCATATGTGATCGAATGAGAAATGACTGCAATATGTACACGTGCTTGTCCCCAAGCACACATACATCATCGAACAGCAGAGAGTGGCTAGAAGTTTCACTATGAGGTGGTGTTCCAGGTCACCCTCATATAGAATGAGTTCTCTTGGGTCAAGTGCATGATGCAGGTGAATAGGGGTTCAGAATGAGTTATCTCAGACAGGCTACACATGTGGTCTCTACGGGACAGGTACAGGGCATGTCAGGCCTTGGGCAGAGTATGCAATGTGGGGCAGCTACTAGCTTTAGATTGGTGAGGTCTCGAGATGGTACGATACATCCTTACGCTACGGGACGGGTACATGATGTGCGATGCCTATCCGGGGTGGACCAGGACACAAGTTCTAAGGCTTCAACATTTCTATCTATATACTATATTACATAGTTTTAACTGTTTACTATATCTGTTTATTTACAGTTGGGCCTGTACATAGTAAATAGATGTATATATATAGTATAAATAGTTTCATGATGATATAGGGCTATTGAGTGCACAATTGCTAGATTTGACAGTGCAATAGTGAGCCAATTAAAAGTCATAGTGTTTGACAGAAGCCACCACTAACAGTTGATCATCATATAGACTCATGAACATGAGTTTCTTGTCATTTCTTGTATGACATGTGATTTCCTTGTCATTCCTGATGCAAGTGTTGACATGAATGCTTGTTTTCTGCTTACTATCATGTGCGTGCTGATGCAACAGCTTCTTAAAGGCCTTAACAATCGCAGAGGCTGCTCACAGTTGAGTAGAACTCCACCAAAAGATGAAATCAAAAAAACTATATAAACTTTATATAAACTGTTTATATGACATATGGACAACTATTTACTATATACTAATTATTTACATCTCAGGAGTGTAAATACTATAAATAGTTGGAGCCTTAGACACAACCCAGGTATCTCATATCAGAACGGTCCACCAAAGCCCTCGGAGTGCAGCGTGCAGTCAGAATCATCCTCTGGAGTGATGGTGGGGCAGGTTCTACTGGTTGGAGTACTATCAGGGGTAGGCAGAGAGTCGACGAGCATGCGTGGTTTGCAGACCCATAAGTAGAAGTCAATCAAGTGAATGTACAAACCAGACTCCACAAAATCTGAATGAGCAGAAGCTGCCCAGTGCTACAAGAGGACCTCAGATTGGCACGTGCAATAAAGTATAATGATGGACATACCAAAGTGATCAGACGGCAGGTCTCAGGCTTCCTCTATCATGTCTACCTACACACACAGTCAACATGCCAACATGCCTTGCTGCTCATTTGCATTCTCTGTCCTGTGCTGCCGATGTCATCACAGTTGATGTCATTGCAGTTCAAGCTCCAACCTCCGTTTATTGCATATTGGGTGAGAAGTCATATATACAGTGTGTCTTTTATATATCTTTGGTATTTATCCTAACCAGCTTGAAGGTTGACTAAGGCTTGCTGTCAGGCCTCATCACTAACCGGAGCACCCGTCACTGCTCATGGGCTGTCGATCACTTTATTCGTGATGTGAATAACTGCAGAAGAATGTGTGATGGCATGTTCATGGTGCATTAAAGCTCAACAAAGAGATTAGCAAGCTGGAGAGGTTCATTGAGTTGAAGGTACATCATGCATCTTATCTTCCAAGGATCATGCTGATTGCAACACTCTTCAAATCTACTGGAAAATATGTACTAGCTCTCGCCATCCATCTTTGATGATGCATACTGATCACTTATACAGAAAGAGTCTGAGATTGAGAAGCTCAAGGACAAGCTTGCACGCTTGCAGAAGAAGACATCTCGCTTCTCGAGTTTTTCATCGTGGCTCCCCTCTTCTGAGTGAGCGATTCATGTATTCGGGCTCAGCAACAAGTATGTGCATTGAAACCAGTGATATGCTCAACTGCATCCTGGCCATGAGCAGCACTCCTAACCAATCCCTATTGGTGGAAGGCAAACTGAGGCTTCTCCATCTGTGGTCTCTTTAGGCTACAGTCACAGGAAACTTCAGATGATAATGTAGCGATGGACAGCCATGAGTCGTTCGGCTGTTTTTCTTGAAATGAAGTCAGTTTTGTCAAAACTCGTGATCAGTGAGTGTCGAACTTGACTATGTGGATGCCTCCGACTGAGAAACAGTTGAAAGCCTGAGCGTGGGGGTGTGCATGTGTAGAATGTGATTGGTGACTTCTGCACTCGCGAACTGTGGTGGCTGAAGGCCTGAGCTGTGGCACGAGGGCTTGCTATATCTGGAAAGTGCTGGTCAAGCACTGACGATGAGACCCTAACTGCCTCCGAACTAGATCAAGTGCTGATGAAGAAGCCCTGGGCATCTGAAAAACTGGGCCAAGCGATGACGACGAAGCCCTGAGCGCTTCTGACTGAAACGAGTGCCGACGACAAACTCCTGGGTGTCTCTAACTGGATCGAGCACCGACAATGAACTTCTGAGCACTAGCAAGGCTATGGAGTCTGATGGGGATGGAATCCTGGTTTGAGACTCGTGACTGGTGGCGTGCGAACAAAATGCGATGGCGTGAGATGCAAAAACGTGATAATGTGACTTATCTGGCTGATACTCGAGTCGAGCTAGAGGCCATTGCTGAGAGTGCTGCCCCTCTCGGTGTCAAGAATCCCAAAGACATAGAACGTGATCACAATAGATGTAGATGTAGTCAAGCACGATGCCCTAGCATAGATGAGATGAGAACTGAGCACTACTTCCATGTGAAAACTCCATGAAAGCTTGTTTTTTTATTCCTATGTACAGTGTGGATCATATAATGGGTCAGAAATGAGCCAGCTGAGTCACTGAAATGTGTTTCTGATCATACATTGTGTTTCCGATCCATTGAAACATGTCGCAAAGCTCGCCCCTGCCCCCTCTTCATATCATACAGTCATAGAACTGAGAAGTCCGGCCCTGCTAGGGTCCATCAGTTCGCTACCCTGTCTTCTATTCAGTTTGTGCACTTGCTCATTTCCGAGTTGCCTAACTGGTCACGTTCCACTCTCCTGCTGCACCTCGTAATTGGCTATGCTTCCTTGTGGCTCACTTATCATTTCCGCACCTCACGTTCACCTTCTGACCCCTTCACATAGTTCCATATTCCCAGGCTGTTGGTAAAGTCTTCTTTGCCCACTCTGAACTGTTTTGACCCTGATTTGTATGCTCCCGGATCATGGCGACTTGCTATCTGATTGTGCAATAGGCGGATGTGTTGTCTGGTGTTTTTTGATCATAAAATATCTCAGTGCATATCATCTCTCCCATTCTGGAATCTGAACCATCCCTGGTCTGTCGTGCATATTTTAGGTAGGGCAACCTGTCTTCATGTTCTTTAGTCTCTCACCACCATGTCCCACATCAATGGTATCTTCAGTCTCACCACCCGTGCTCGCGGGGTTTACCCTGTTGATGGTGCCTGCATCCTGTTGCTTCAGCAACTGGATAATCTCATCAGTACATCACCTGCTCCCAACACTCCTGAATGGGCCTGGCAGAGCTGGGCCACATCGTTTTCTGCTTACGAGATGAGTTCTTCGTGTTGCAATCCATCGTATGGCGGTTGATATTGAGGCGTTCAGTCCCAGCTGATATGCAATTACCCTATCTGCGCCTCGTCACTCTTTTACGAAGTTAACTCGGTATATAACTGGTTCATGCTGAATGCAAGCATTGACTTCGACTGGTTCCTAACAGTTGTCCCTCCTTCGCTGATGGGTTATTCAGCTGCTTGCATGACCGCTGACCCAGTCGCACTCCTGCTGAATTGTCTGAGATCATGCAGGAGATCATCATGACTGCTGATCATGGTGACTTTGACAAGCTCTCCGAAGGTCGCACTTACACTTGTAATCATTTCTTGATGGCTTATGTCGAAGACGACCTCTTTGTGGATGGGCGTGACCGGGCGTTCCTTGGGCAGACTCATCCGATCAAGAACTGGTGGGCCGAACATGACCTAAAGTGCATCCCTTCACCCTCTGCTGCCTTCGTCATGATCGCAGAGATTCTGCAGAGTATGGTCAAGCACGAAGTGATTGTGGTTGTGAGTCCTTCGAAGGTGCCGTCACATTCAGTGTCCATTGTGAGTACAGTGTCTTCCGTGGTTACCCCCAAGTCTTCCGAGTCAGATATGCTGCGTGAGTACTACACCGCTGTCCACGCTCTCCTAAAGCATGTGCAGGTCACGTTCTTGAGCTTCAGCAAGCCGTGGCTGCATACCAAGGTGCATCCAGTCACTTTTTCATATTGAGCTCGTTGCTTACATTTCGGCCACCAGTGCTCCAAGTGCTTGGTGGACAGCGACTGCATAATCATGCCCTCTGACCATGGTGGACAGGCTTGCATTTACTGCCAAGTGTCACACTTCAAGTGCTCGTTTGTTCAGGCTCCCTCTAGTATGCCCCTCTTCTCTTCGATCGCAAATACTGCCATACTGACTTCGTTCATTTTGTGATTGCAGATGCTAAATCACTTGCAGAGACTGAGTGAATTCTTAGTGAGGTTCATGAACTGGCCATCCCTAATGCCCTGTTGGTCAAGATCTATACACAGGAGCACACGTGACTGATTGTGGAGGCAACTCACATTAGCGAGCATCTCCAGTTCTTGATGACCTTCCTGGCTGTGAATGAGAAAGCTGCATAGCCTAGAACCCTCTCAATTTGTCCTTTGTGTACTCCGCTTTCTCATGTACAGTAGTTTGACTATGTTTGTCTTGGCTCTCATGCTGTAAATCCCTTGTTTTGGTAGCCTCAATTGGATTGGCCTGATTTTGGTCCCGCATGAGAAGTTCTGTCCGAGTCATTTGAACTGGCTTCCTGAGAAAGCTGACTGACTCTATCACGTGGTAGAGGACAATTCTGTGAGGTTTTAATGACATGTTCACGTGTCCGTGCCTGGCTAGTTCAACATTTTCTTCAGTGTCCGATGGTGCCTAACTCTCCTCTCCCTCTACCTCATTCTCTCAGCTCAACGATGGATGACCCCGCTACTCCATCATCATCTCAGCGTTCTGCAACTCCAGTCACCTCTCCTTGCAAGGTGCGCCTGTTTCCCAATTCCTTGGTTTGTTGCTGTTGCTAACCTCCATTCTTGACACATAGGTGGCAGACCCAAAGGATGCCATCATGGGCACCATTTACTCTGCTTGGGAGAGGTTATGCAAGGCTGAGCCTCTCGGTCTGGCCGTCGATTTCGAGTTGCTTATACACGAGTTCCTTTCTGCCCTGGTAAGTGACCACTCCGTTGTACTCACAACTGGTTAACACTCTCCCTTTCTTAGCACAATCTTCGTGCCTTTTCGGACTTGATGTCACAAACACACTACACCCAGTTTTGCCAAAAGGTCCAGGCACATCTCGATGCCTTTGTATAACTGTCATGGCTATCGTGGTGTGAGGAGTTGATCTTGCCTGTATGAGCTGCCACCTTCACAGTGAATAAGGTGCATGCATCAAACTGTGGTCCCTTATCTGCCTTCTAATGTGATTCTCCGGCCCTCCTAGGAGCTGAGTTAACCTCCAGTGACTGAGGCTTCCACATGCACACCCTCTGATACTGGGGAGGTCATGGCTTCCAACTCTCCGACCACTTCTACTGGTGCTGATGACTCCCTTCCTGCTGCTGCTCCATCCTCTTCTTCTGCAG